CCGGCCAGCGGAGGCTCCAGCAAGATGCTTCGGTGGCTGGAGGATGGTAAGAGGAGCAGCATGTGCGCTGCTCCTGCTCCAGGGAAAGGGACCCTCCAGGGAAACAGGGAAAGGGACACTCCACAGCCCACCTTTGAGTCTCTGTGCAAGGTCTATGGTGGGCTCTGGGGGGGGGCTCTGGTGGGGATTGCAGGGACTCAGGTGGGCAGTGCAAGATCTATGTTGGAATGTGCAGGGTCTATGGTGGTCTCAGCCTGACACCCTGCAGAGCCCACCAGAGACCCTTTACAGCCCATCTGAGCCCCCGCCTTGCCTGCAACACTAAGCCCTCATTCACACTGCTTAGAGTTGGCCCATACACATCCGTGCGGGTGCAGGTGTCCATGCTCGGATGAAGATAGGATCCATCCTGTCTGCGTATTAGTATGGACATCCGCACCCGTGCAAATGTGCAGTTCAGTTGAGCGTACGGCTGCGTCCTCCCATAGAGAAGAACAGGCTGCTGCGTACAAATCACACGCAACAGCCTGTCCTTCCCGGGAACGGCCCGATACGTCCGTGCACGTCCCACGGATCTGTACGGGCCGACTTTAAGCAGTGTGAATGATGCCTAATAGCGCAATCTGTCAGAAGCTGTATCCAGTGACTTGACAGGTTATGCAAAATGTCTTGAACAGGAAGAGGTGGAACAAATTTAGATTGGGGGGGGTGCCAAGTTTCGTCTTGCCTAGGGCAGCACGAAACCTAAATACACCGCTGCTCCTCGGCCGCTCTATAGCGGCAGCGGCTGATGAGAAGAGAGAACTGACACGGCGATCGCTGCTGTTGAAGGAGTAGAATCAGTGCCGCACTGTAGCTGTCCTTACTCCGGTGTTCTATCGAAAGCTCACTGCACAGAGCTCCAGTGTTTCTGAGCACCAGAGGTAGTTAGAGATCTCAATGAGTTGGAGCTTTCGATAGAACACCGGATCCTGCAGCTTCCTCCGCCCACCTCAGCTGCCATAGGCTGGGAGGAAGACTGCAGAGCTGCTACTGGCTGGAAGGACAGCACGGGAGAAGCAGGACACCTGGGACATGGAGGATACATTGCTTTTTTCTGCATTACACTGCTGGCCTCTGTACTCTGCATCACACCACTGGCCTCTGCACTCTGCATTGTTACTGATCTCTGTTCTCTGTGTCACACCACTGACCTGGCGGAGTTAAGGGCGGGGCACGGTAGGGGTCAGGTGGGGCGACTGGTGGCGAGTAACTCTTAAGGCCTGGCTAGTAGCTCAGGACTTGAAATTTTGAGCCCTGTCCTAGGGTATATGTTGTTTTATTTGTTTCCCTAGTTGGTCTACTTGGGGTTACTCTAGCTTATGCTCTTGGAACATATTTAATGTCTTTGTATATTTGCCTGTGTACTTTGCATATCTACTATTTTTATGCTTTATATTACCTTGTATTTTTGATATGCATCTACCTTTCCCTTTTTTTCTTTTCTGTACTTGTTTGTTTATATATAAATATGCTAAATAAAGAATTTGCCCCCCAAAAAAGTATAATCCCATAACAAAATGGGTTCCCATTATATGCTTACCACGGTCAGGTATCGTGAGCCCATTTAAGGTGTGTTCTACAAAGATGACATCATCGTTATCTTGTAGGGACTCAGGGGAGGAATTAGAGTCACTGTCCAGCACTCCTTCAGAATCAGAGCTGCTTTCCTCACTGATGCGTATTAATCCACCAAGTTCACAACGTGAAAACTTTCCTGTGCGTTGTTTTCCCCTTTCTTCAAAAAAAGAACAAAAAAAAAGTGAAACAACCAGATGCATAATATTTGTGGGGCGAAATGTAAGACATCGAAGAATATAACTGAAGGCATGAAGCTACACAGAATGTGGGAAATATAGCTTAATGATAGCAAACAAATCAAAGTTCCAATGACAATTAAAGGACAAAACAAAAAACCTGTACGCACTTTTCCTTTTCAGCAAGCCTTTCTCTCGTTTCCTCTTATTTGAAGGAAAGTGTTTTTTGATCAAAGACCTAAACACGCCCCTGCAAGGTAAAAGAAATAAAAAGGTTGGGTTATCAATCTTTCTACAAAAAGCTCCAGGTTCCTGACCAACTGTATTATATTAAACATTTTCTTCTCAAAATCAACCTTCAGTTATCTTTCATATTAAGTACACGCTGTATAGACAGTAAGATATTAAAATCACACTTTTATACAATCAATCATACTCATTCTGCAGGTGACTATACTATAATGTTCTGCAATATTAACTTCTCCTCTTAACTCTGCATTTGATAATACTACAATAACCTGTACAATAATACAGGATACTGTGTAGCTGCCTGTACTACAGTACACTGCATTTAGTTACATATATGCAAGACTAATCTGAGCTGCTGAGTATACTATACTACTCTGTATGGTCGTTGTAATACTCACTCTGCAGCAGACACAAAGCGGTCTAGATGACCATCATTTTCATCCATCACTTCCCGGGTACGAGCTTCACCAGTAGATTGTAAACCAATTACAACACACTAAAGGAAAAAAATATATATGTTTCTTCCATTAAAATTACATTGCAACACTTAAAAAAATTAAATAAACAGATCCTGGTGAGCAACATCTTTAATAGATAAAAGGATTTTTGCCTTGGAGAGAGGATGCCTGGAGAGCAATCATCATAGGCAGCACCAGTAACCCAGTGGAGTGGTGTCAGAGATCTGGACTTCCTTTGCTGGGCAGTCCCAGCAGCAGGTGCAGCCTGTGTAGCCAGTTCATTATGTGCCAAAGAGGAAAATTTTAGGCGCACGAGCAGCAGGAATCACCAGAGAGGTTGGGCAGGTGCCACGGAGGAGAAACCCAATCTGGATAGCTGCTGTCAGGCACCAAAGTGGCTGTGAGCAACAGTAGGGGGGGGGGGGGGGAAACTTCCTAAAAGAATAACCGG